TGCCTAGACTTGGCATTGACTTGGAGAGCACTGCAAGAGAATTGAACTCGATAAACCTTCACACCTAGTTCACACAGAGAATGAAAAAAGGCACATTTTCCCTCTTCCACCTGTGAGTGCCAAAGTTTTAAGCTCCAAAGTCAAGATGCCCAAAGCCAAACTTGCTGATGAGATGTGGACCCACATATTCTCCCTGTAGTTGGCACCTCAAATTCTAAGTTCAGTTTTGGGTCCCTCAATTCAGGAAGGACATTGAGGAGCTGAAGCATTTCCAGAGAGGGGCAATGGAGGTGGGGAAGGGCCTGGAGCACAAGTCTGATGAAGAGTTGCTGAGGGAGCTGGGGAGGCTCAGCCTGGAGAAAAGGAGGCTCAGGGGGGACCTTCTGGCTCTGCAACTCCCTGACAGGAGGGTGGAGCCAGGGGAGATCAGGCTCTGCTCTCAGGGAACCCAGGATGATAGGAAACAGCCTCAAGTTACACCAGGGGATGTTTGGTTGGATATTAGGAAAAACTCTTCATGGAAAGGGTTGTCCAGCCCTTGCACAGGCTGCCCAAGGCAGTGGTGGAATCCCCATCCCTGGAGGGATTTAAAAGCCACGTGGATGTGGCACTTGGGGACATGGGTCAGTGGTGGCCTTGGCAGTGCTGGGGGAACAGTTGGACTTGATGATCTTAGAGGGCTTTTACAACCTTAATGATTCCAGGATTGTTCTGGATCATCTGAAGGAAACCTGTGTGCCCCATTGGTGTTCTGGTCTCCCTTGCCTTGTGCAGCAGCAGTTGCAGGAGGGATATTGGAGCTGGGACGTGCAGCTGTGCTGGAGAGAGGGCTTCAGCCTGTCCAGCCTGCTGTAGCGAAGGGATTGAGTCAGCTCCACATGGATTTGGGGTCTGTTCTGTGTGTTCCCTGCCAGGAGATCTGGGAAGGCAGCACACTGGTTAAGCTCTGCCAGAAGGGCATGGGAGGCAGACAAGAATCCTGCCAAAAACCTGTGCCAGCTGGGAGTGGGGGGAATGTGCTGCTGCAGCGAGAGGCCTGGTCTGGGTCGATCATCACAGGGGAGCTCGAAGTGACTCCATTCAGGAGCATCCTAAATGCTCCTGGTTTAGGAGCATCTTCCTAGGGAAATAAACTTGCCAGCTGAGGGCTCAGCAGGCTGGGAGATGCTGATGCCACGGGATAAAACAAAGGGGAAGCAGCAGTGTAACATATTTATGGTGAGGCCCTAGCACAGGTTGCCCAGAGAAGCTGTGGCTGCCCCATCCCTGGAAGTGTTCCAGGCCAGGTTGGACAGGGCTTGGAGCAACCTGGGATAGTGGTGGAAGGTGTCCCTGCCCATGGTAGAGGGTTGAATGAGATGGTCTTTAAGGTCCGTTCCAACCCAATCTGTTCTGTGGTTCTATGCTGATATTTTAGCAAGATATAAAGTGCAGATTATACATACCTGGCAGTAAAATCCAGGCTGATGGTGTTTCTCCAGAGTTCAGGGAAGCCCATGGATGATGGAGACGGTACCCAGCTGGCCTTGCCATCTGTGATTCCAGCAGAACAGTGGTTCTTCCTGGCCATGGGAGGCTCAAAACCCACCCCACATCACCCTCAGCTTCCTCAGTAATAAATACTGGCAGACAGGGTCTGTGTGAGGAAAAGTGTCACGAAAAGCAGGTGGGATCACAGAGGGTTTGCAGGGATCCCAGACCAGGATATGTTTGTTTATGCATGTGCTCTAAGTTTCATCTTATGAGTAAATATATTTTTGGGACTGTTCACCTCAGTTTAAGATGCCAAAGAATGTGCAGCCTTTGGAGATACACACAAAGAAAGTTGTAAGGGACACGTCAGGGATATTCCATGCTTTCTGTGTTGAAATGGGGAAGTTTTCCTTCTGGGGCTCAGTGTCTGGATTTTGTATGAATGTTTTGGAGTTTCTGAGATATTGATGAGTGAACAGAATGGAAGAACTTTTCCATACCCCATCCTTGAGACTCATGGGATGTGTGGTCATGAGGATTAGGTCAGCGATTGCAATCGAGTTTTGACTCTGGAGGGTTGGGATACAATGTTTAAGCCAGGAGATGATGTGGGAATTGTCAGAATCACAGCAAACTGACTCCTCAAAGTGATGGGGCAGTGTTAGTCAAGAGTGGCCTGGGTGTAGCAGCCACTGCTACATCAGTGAGCATGTACCTGTAAGTTTGTAACTAGCACTCAGTCACTTCATATCATAAAAGTCATACAGTCCTCTTTAGGGTTTTGAAAATCCCTGCCACAAACTTACTTTGTGGCTACCAAACTGGACCAGGATAAAACAGCTGTTCATAAGAACTGTACTCATCAGTTGTGTCTGCAGGTTAACCTGCTGTATGATTCAATGTTGTAGTTATTGTTAGTCCTTAGGGTTCGACATTATAGGTAAGCAGCACAGACTTAACAGGATGGAATCCTTTTCAGTCTCTGAAGGGGGGAAATGTAGCCTGAAACCTCTATTATATAGCTTACTAATACAGAAATGATGCCTTTGTAGCAGTTTTCTAAGATGCTTTGTGAAGAGTTTCAACAGACAGGAATTTCTAATGAGATAAGAAGGCTCCTCTCCCTGTAAAAATGCCCTGAGAAAGAGATATAACAACCTGCAAAGCCAGTCAAAGGAGCCTGAAGCCATTCCAGAAGGCTGGTGTTGTCCCAAAGGCCCGAGGCCAGGAAAGGGACAAGAGGAGGATGAGGAAGATAGAGGTGTTTTTTGGACCCAGGAGGGGTGTCAGAGGCGTGGTGAGGGTGTTGCTGTGGGAGGGATGGTTTGGGAAGTGGGTGTAACAGGTGAAGTCACGTTAGATGTTATAGTATAAAACTACAGCACCTCTGTAACTCGGTGTGCCTACTGTGGAAAGGATTCCTACACACCCAGAGTGCTGGAAATAAAGAATGCTTTTCTTTCTAGTACTCAGAAAGGAGTGTTAGAGGGTTCTTTCTGGAATCAGGGCTGTCTTGGCTGCCCCAGCTCCGAGGGGACACGGGGGACAAGAACGGGGCATGCTGCCATGGGGAAGGGGGGAATCATGTTTTAAGCTGCCTTCAAATAAAACAATTAAAAACTTGGACTTCTAGAACAATCCCTGTGCTGTAATTCCTGATGGATCCCATGGGGTTTATCCTGACTCCCAGCCCCTGCTCCTCCTCCCTCCCCAGGGTAAGTTCTGCACAGCGGGGCTGGGGATGGGAGCAGATGGTGGGATCTGGGCCTGCACCTTCCCTCTCTCCAGAGCCAAGGGAATGTCTGGGGGGAAATAAAATTCTGCCTTCCCAAAGGAAGCATTTTGCACTGAAACTGCCCTCCTGGAAACTCCAGCCCCTGCCAGAGGCCTGGGGCAGGAAGGAGCTGAACACCACGGAGTTCTGCTGCCCCAGATCCCGGCACCTTTGCCCAGGGGTGAGGAACGAGAGAACCAACGGCTTGGGAGGACATTCCTGACCAAATGCCAGCAGTTTACTTCCATGTTTGTATGCTATTGGTATCAGAGTCCATCTAAACCACGCTGCAGGACCTGGCCCTTGCTGCCCTGCCCTGTGGAAGCAATTCAGTCCCAGTAACACCAGTTGTGGGTCTGTGTCCGTCTGTCCCAGCTCCAGGTGCTGGTCCTGACTGCACCAGTTTGGGGGTGAGAACCCCCAGCATGGAATCACTTCTTCTTCCTGTTCAGGAGATGAGGTGCAGACACTTTCACCTTACCAGGAATATTCCTTGACAAATCGGTGTCCTAGAAAACAGTGAAGAGGAGAAATGGGACATGGCAGAAAAGCATTTACAGGCACCTTCCTGAGCCCTGAGCACAGGGATGACACATTTCCCACAGTGAGGGGCACAGGACACACCTCCAGCCTGAACTCCCAGGGCAAGCACCTGCCCTTGCCACAGGAATTCCCCCTCCCAAAACTAGAGGATTTCTTGGAAGATGCTGCTTTTGCCAGATAAGTTATTTTAGATCAGGAGTGACACAAAACAGAAACCCAAGGCCCAGTGATACCACTGAGGCTCAATTTCTAATGGCTCTTCCCAGCCTAAGCAGCACAGGGTGCCCAGAGAAGCTGTGGATTTCCACCCCTGGAGGTGTCCAAGGCCAGACTGGATGAGGTTTGGAGCAACCTGGTCTAGTGGAAGGTGTCCCTGCCCATGGCAAGGGGTGGAACTGGATGGGCTTTAAGATTCCTTCCAACCCAAACTATCCTGGGACTCTCTGACCTTCCCCAACAGTGGTAAAAAAAACCCAAAACAACCAACAGCACACTCAGTTTTGCAGCATTTCCCCCCAAAGTGGACATTTTGCTGCTGCTGTTACATTTGCACAAGAGAAATTCTGCAGAAGAAGGAGTCACCTTCACGCTGCGGAACAGGTCTTTCTCTCTTGCACTGGCTTCTTTGGACTGCATAAAATTGTGCAAGGCAATCTTGGCAGCTGTAAAAACACAGGGAAGAGTGAAACAGCTTGGAAAACCACACTGGCTTCACCAGGCAGAGCAGGGAAAAGGATTCAGGGCTTTCAGACCTTACCTTTGCCCTTCTTTTGGGTGCCCGGAGTGAGCTTGACTTTATACCTGCCCAAAGAAAAGGTTTCTCTGAGTAAAACACAGGCTGTCACCAAACCCTACCCCAAAAAAGTGCTGCCACTCACTTGTAGTTGGTCATGGCTGTGTAGGGAGCACAGATGGGGACAGCAAAGAGCAGGATGTCCTCAGGATGGGGCTGCCCAGTCAGGGAGTCCAGCAGGGCCTCACCGTCCTGAGGGACAAAGAACTTAACTGGGACCAGGCTGTGCCCTCCAGCCCCTCCCTGCTGGGCTTACTGGGGACTGAAGGGTCCCTGCCATGGCAGGCATTGGAACCAGGTGGTCTTTGAGGTCCCTCCCAAACCAAACCATTCTGTGATTCCATGACTGAGTGATCACAGGATCACTCACTTCACTTGCATCAAACCACCAAGCCACGATTCATGACTGACCCTCTTTGATTACTGAAATCACATCATTGGATGGATCTTAGTTTTGGGACCCCCAAATGTTGTTACATCTTCACAGGGTCACCATCAGCTCCCCCCCTGACAGACACTGTTATCCTCCTTCATGAAAGAATTTAAAGGAATTCACTTATTCCCAGCCTTGGGCAACACCCACAGCCTGTAATTACAAAAAAGCTGGAAGCAATTTTATAGGTAAAGAAACTTCTAAACTAAAGAACCACCTGCCCTGCACACTGTGTCATCCTCCAGCCCAGAGCCACCTCTCCTGGGGGTGCCAGCACCTCCAGAGGCAAAAACAAGGGACAAACAGCCATGGAGCCAGCTCTGGTTTAATGGAGGCTGTGGAGATGAGCAGGGCAGGAAGAAAAGGAGGTTACTTTTAAAAAATACAATTAAGCTGGGTTCAAACAGCCCAGGGGGGCTCCTGGAGGGCTCCCATGGGAATACAGCCCTGGCCTCCACACTTATGGAGCTGCAGACAAACATTTACCTCCACTCCCGGCTGATCCTGGTCCTGCTCCTCCTGCACACAAACAAAGGACAGTCAGAGCTGGAGGGAGCACACAGCTGCTCCTCCCTCCCCTGCCCCGGGGACAATCAATGCTTTATCAGCAGTACCCAGAAAGCCACATTCTCCCTGCCAGCAGAGCTGGACTCCTTGCAAAGCAAAGGTAAGACCATTTTGATGTGGGTGGGGGGTGGAGTGTTTCTTCCCACCCTCCAGTTTTGCCTGGCACACGCCAGGCTGGGAGGGAGAGATGAGCCCAGAGATACCAACTCCCCCCAGCAGAGCTGGGAGCTCAGGTACAGCTCAGCTGAGTGGGAGTGTTGACTGCCCTGGATCCTGGGACTCCTCCGAGCCCCAGTTGTGGCTGTGCAGGGAACAGGACGTGCACAGGGATTGCTGCAGGGCTTTGGGAAACCAACGGGCTCCCTGAGCTGTGCCATTTGGCACAGAGCTCTCCAGAGTTCCCAAAAACCACAAGGAGCAGCTCAGCTCCTTCACGATGCCAGGAGAGCCAGAGCAAGGGACAGACATATGGACAGGTGAGGAGAGGCGAGTGCTCCTCACCTTCTTACCCTGCTCTTCACCTTCCCCTCCTGCTCCTCACCTTCCCCTCAAAATCCTCACCCTGCCATCCTGCTCCTCACCTTCTCATCCTGCTCCTCCAGGGCTGGGTCCTGTGCCTCGTGGAGCAGGATTCCTGCTGGGAGGGTGTCCTTGCCCCCTCCTGCTCCACGACGCGGGGCTTTGGGTTTCTGCTGTGGCTTCTTTGCTGCCTCTTCTTTTGTCTTCCCCTTCTTCCCTTTTTTCCCTTTGTCCTCCTTGTTGGAGCCTGCAGACTGTGGGCACGCAGGTGGTCAGAGCTGCTGAAGGAGCTCCTACAGCCCCAGGGAAGGCAGGACCCCCCTCCCTCACCCCCAGCAGCTTCATGATGAGCTCCCGGTCCTCCTCGTCCTGGTCCCTGTACTTCTCCTTCATCTTCTTCATTTTGCTCTGCAGAAGGAAACACCAACAGCTTCACAAACGGTGACTTTGGCAGAGTTTTGCATCCACAAACACCTGGGTGCTGATCCCACATGCACCCCCCTTCCCAGTACCCCAAACCTTTCAGTGCAGTTCGTCAGTAACCAAAAGACTGGTTCCAGTGAGCTCCGTGCTCACAGACCAGCAAAATCACCCCAAGCCCACTTAAAGCACCACCATGAGCCTAAGACCACGAGGCAGCCATGGATGTCTGGGAAATCTGGGATTTCTGTTCACACTTCACATGCCAACAGCTCAACCCGGGGGAGCCCCTGATCCCTGCCCACCTTCTGGCCCCGCTTGATGGGCTGAGGGGCTGGAACACCCTTGCTGCTGTTGGGAGCAGGGGGAGGCTGTGTCTCCGTCTCCTTCTGCTTCTCCTCAGGCAGCTCCGAGTTCTCAGAGTTGTTCTGCTGCTTCTTTTTCTTCATTTCTCTAAGGAAAACATACAGGACACACTGCCCCTGGTTGTGACAAGAGAGGCTGCTGCTCTCCTGGCAGCATTCCCACCCTGATCCCTTGCCATGGAGCTCCGGAGGAACCTGAGGCAGGATCTGTGGAAACAACCCCTCCTCAGGAAAACCTCTCCAGCCCACGAGTACACAAGGAACTGTTCACAACCAGCATTCCCAAAGGACAGGAGTAGGAGCCCACACTGGAACTGCAGGATGGACAATGGGTATGGATCTATGGATCAGCCCAGACTGGGAGGTGCAAGACATGCCCTGTCCCCAGGTCCTGGGGAGGGAATGGGGAGGAGGCGTTTGCCCAGAGAAGCTGTGGCTGCCCCTGGATCCCTGGAAGTGTCCAAGGCCAGTCTGGATGGGGCTTGGAGCAGCCTGGGCTAGTGGAAGGTGTCCCTGCCCATGGCAGGGGGTGGAACTGGATAAGCTTTAAAGTCCCTTCCAACACAAACCCTTCTGGGATTCTGTGATTCCATGAAACACGAAGTGGCTCTCACCTCCTCTCCTTGGCAGAGAGGTGCCTTCGCCCCTGGGCCTTGCTGTCACTCTGGGAAGTGAAAGGCAGTTAGAGCACACCCTGCCCAGCAGCAGCTCCCACTGCTCTGTGCCAAACACTGGAGCTGGGACCTTACCAAGCTGGGCTCTTCCTCTCTGGGAAGGCTTTTCTGCAGGGATCTGTGGGCAGATGGAAATGGAGCATCAACACACGTGGAGCAGCTCAGCCACAGACACAACAACCACGGCCCAGACACTTTCAGCTTTCCAGTTCTTGAAAATCCCAGCTTTGGTGAATGGGAAAGGTGGGAATACTGGGATTTAGTTTCCAAAACAAGTCTTAGATCTCTGCCAGCTCCTCTCACACACACGAGCAACAATGTCTGGGCACCAAAGGAACCCCTGATGTGCAGCTTCCCAAGCACATGGCCCCCTCAGCAGTGGTGTTCCCTGCAGAGCTGTCCATTCCCACCCACTCCATCCCATCTCCTTGCCCTGCCTAAGGAATGCCTCTTCCAGGGACAACAGGGAGCTGAGCTCATCTCACAGCCCCACGCAGAGCAGGAGCTCTGCACCAGCCTGGCAGAGCAGAAACAGCTCAGGGCTCAGTTTCTCAGCTCTGAGCAGCCCTGCAATGAAAATGGGGCAGGATTCCCACAGCACTGCCTTGCTGACCATGGAAAGTAGGCATGGCAACTCATCCCAGTCCCTGTCCTGGTAGTGTTTTAGGAGACCCTCAGGGGTGCCCCCATTGCTGCTGCTTCACTCACCTCTGAGACTGGAGGTGTGACAGGTCGATTGTCGTGTCTGGGTAATTCACCTCCTCCTCCTTCCCTCCTCCCTTTGGCTCCGGAGGTTCCACTTCATCTTCGGATTCTCCATCCTCCTCCTCCTCCTCAGAGTCCCCCTCTGGAGCAGGAGGTGTGTTTCCTCCTCCCTGCTCCAGGTCAGCAACACCCTCATCACGGTTACTCTCAGGAGGGGCTTCCACATCCTCTGGAGCTGCTTCCACATCCTCTGGAGCTTCCACATCCTCTGGAGCTGCCTCCACGTTCTCTGGAGCTTCCTCACACTCGGCTTTTTCCTCTTCACTGCTGCTGTCTCCTCCTTCTGGGGCACAGAGGGCAGGACAACACAGTCAGAAACACCAGACTGATCCATCACAGAATCACAGAATTATGGAATCCCAGAATCCCAGGATGGTTTGGGTTGGAAGGGACCTTAAAGACCAGCTCATTCCAACCCCTGCCATGGACCAGGACACCTTCCACTAGACCAGGTTGCTCCAAACCCTGTCCAACCTGGCCTTGGACACTTCCAGGGATCCAGGGGCAGCCACAGCTTCTCTGGGTAACCTGTGCCAGGGCCTCCCCACCCTCCCAGCCAAGAATTCCTTCCCAATATCCCACCTAACCCTGCCCTCTGGCAGCTTGAAACCATCTCCCCTTGTCCTGTCTGTGATCCAGAATCCCATAGGGATCCCACAGGCCCCAGACAGCCCTGTCTGCCAGCAGCACACGCAGCACCCAGTCCCACTGTACCTAACAGCTCCACTTCTTCAGCCACCAGCTCACTGGCACTGCTGGACACCGTTTCCAGATCCTCATCCTGGACTTTGATCTTCCTCTCTTCCCGGTGTCTCCAGACACAGCTTTCATCCACCTAAAACCAGAGGCACCTTTGTGTCAGGACCAGCCTCAGTTCACTGGTCTGTTCACAGAACACCTCATTTGGCTTTTCCTTTCCTTTTTAACACTTTTTGCCATCAAAAGGCAAGAAAACTAGTCTAGCACATTTAAACTCAAGCGTGACAACCTCAAAAGTCAGGGTAACACACACAGCTGCACATCCACCTTCCCTGAACATCCACACTCTCCAGATTCCCTGAACATCCCATGCTCCAGCTGGGATAACAACCTGTCAGAGGCAGGAATGCTCAAGTCTGTTTTGCATGCAGACAGTGCACAGTGGGGAAAGATGGAAATGAAAGTAGAGTCATTATCAGCTAGAAGCGTTTTATGGGATTTGTCCCAGTGGGAAAAGAAGTAATTGGGAATATACTGATAAGCAAGACCCAGAAAATAAGCCTCCTACAGCTCAAAGCAAATTAAAAAAGCCAGGAGGAGCTGCACAGGAAAAGCTGTACCTTAAACAAGAAGCTGAAGCCCATCATCAGATAGGAAGGTGGAAGGAAATTCTTTTTCCCTGAAAAACAAAGGCAGAGTCTCATGAGGAGGTTTAACAGCCATGTTACAGGATGTACTTCCAAAATTCATTTTTATTAGAGGCTTTAGGCTACCAAAAAATTACACTGGGGCTTATTTTATCTCTCAGATGAGAACAGGAGAACTCAAAAGCAGCTGAGCTAATGAACTTCTGCCCAGGATTTGGCTAGAAATGCTGCTGCAACTGCCTGATAGTCAGTCTAAACCATTCCCCAATGGATTTTGGGGGAGAAGAGCAGGATCTGTTGGCTGTTCAGAGGGAGGGGGTGGCTGCCACTGCAGGACAGCCCAGCACCTTCAGAGAAAATGCCAAATTCCCACTGTTCCCTTGTGTCTCACCTCGGATCATGAAGCTCCCAGTAGTGAGATATTCTCCTGTGGGTGCAGTTTTAGAAACCTAAAAAAAAATCACGATATCCTATAAAAAATCAGCATCATGTAATGACAACACCACCAAAGTAACTCCTGGGAACAGCCCTCTGGACTCTGTATCCCTCTTTTGCAGTGAATTTTCCTAAGGGATGTTTCATTCTAATCACACACTACCAGCACTGTATTTTAGAAGTCCTGGGTGAGCAACTGGGTTATTCAGGAAATAAAACCACCAAAACATCAGAGCAATCTCTACACCCCTACACCTGAGTTACACCAAATTTGACCACATCCATCAGCTCCCAGTCTCAGTCAGAGACGCTTTGTCTGCAGTCAAAACCCTTTCCCTCAGATGTTCTGCCTGGAAAGGTCATGTCCTTACCTGGTTGTGGGAGACCCACCAGGCACTGGTGACCACCCTGGCATCCCAGGCTGCACTGTAGCACAGGGCCATCGTTCCAGCCTCTGTCAGGGTCCGGGGTGGGATGGGCTCCCCTGCAAGGGAACACGCAGCACACCATGACACAGGCACAGCAGATTAAACCCTAAACCTTCCATATGTGCCCTAATCCAGCGTGTGAGCTTTCTAGGATCCCACACCAGCCCCAGCCAGGTACCTGAGGGGTTCTTGATGACGCAGCTCGTGGCTCCGTGGAGATCCGCGTGCACGTAGATGTCCCCTGGAAGAGAGGGGACTCCAATCAGCCACACACAGATCCCTGAGCCAAGGGGAAGTTTCCAACACCAGCTGGAAGCAGCTGCTTTGGCTCCAAGCAGCAGGATGGGAAGAGGACACAGAAGCCTTTTAGTCCATCAGCTGTCCCAGGGAGAATCAGCTCCTTTGCTCCTGAGGGGGCCCATCCAACCCACTCGTGCCCACGGTGCCAGAGGGACTCCCATCACCAAAGTGATCCAAGACTTTGATCCATCCCCTTTGATCCAAGACCCAACTTAAGGACAAAGCAGACAGACCTTCCCATGTCAGTCCTGGACATCTACAAAACTGGAAAACAAGAGGCAAACCCCCCCACTCCACTTCACTGGACTCACCTGGTTTAAGGTACCGCTTCACAATCAGCTCGTTCTGCTGCTGATCCCTCCCAGCAATAACCAGGTAATTCTCAGAGCTAATGAACCACAGGAACTTCTCAAACCTGCCAAACCACAGCAAGTCCACTGTGTGAGAAACTCCTGGAACTCACAGGACACCGCACAGGTGGGTTTTTGTAACAAACTGAGAATAACCATCTCAGCATCTACAATTTATGACACTGCAAATAGTTGCACGTCCATCCGTATGCCTGGGGCATAAAAACAAGGCATGGGACAAATACAGCACCACTGCCAATGATATTTTGAGATGAAACAAGAAGTACAATCACCACAAAGTCCTCCTACTTATTTTTATTTTAATGGTTCAGTTATTAGATGATTAAAAGCTTTGAGGTTTGGTTTCATTTGTTTGGTTTTTTTTTAAATTACAGAATCACAGAATGGTTTGGGTTGGAAGGGACCTTAAAAACCACCTTGTTCCAACCCCCTGCCATGGGCAGGGACACCTTCCACTAGACCAGGTTGCTCCCAGCCTCATCCACTTGACCTTGAACATTTCCAGGGATGGGGCAGCCACAGCTTCTCTTGGCTACTATGCCTGAAAATCATTCTGGGATTCTATGATTTTAAGAAGCACCTGCAAGGAGACTCAACACCAAGTGTAGTGCTTAGAAATCCTAATTAGCTCCACTTCTAAGCCAGTGGAAACTCAGCCTGACACAGGACATGAGAGAAGGACAATGGAGCTGTACTTGCCAATAGACCTTCCTGGCTTTCTGGATGGTGGTGACTGTCTGAACTTCCCTCAGTGTCTGCTTTGTCTTCTTCTCAGCTGATTTAAATGCCTGTATGGACAAAAAGCAGGATCACAATCCAGAAGGAATCACAAAATTGCTGGCTGAACAGTGGGAAATGGCTCTGAACTTTATCAGTGCAGGTTCCACACTCTGCTGTGCATCTCCTGCATGCACATGTGGGACAGCTGCCCTTGAACTTCCACCCTGGATAGCTGCTCCCTAAAATTATCAGCTCTTTGATTGTAAGGATTTGCACTGATTTTCCACTCCTGCCTCCCTAAATCCTGGTCTCTCAATATCTCCACCTGCTTTGAGCACTCCCAATGCTGCTGGTGGAAAGAGAGGATACATCAGGGATCTGCAATCCTCTGCTGAGCTTAAAATGTCAAGAATAAAACAGCCTTGGTTGGTTGTTTTTCCCTTTATGTCTCATTATGGCTACTTAGACCAGGCCAGGACTTCCCACTTACCAATGACAGGGATTTTGCTTTTAAATACCTTCTAAAAACCAAGAACAAAAATACCTTTTCTGCAGCTTCTACTGTCTTCTGAGTTTTCTTGGCTGCGTGTCTTTTGTGATCGTAGTACCTGTGAAACACAAGTGTGTTTGTCCCTGAAATCCCAGAATATTCACTCATTTTTAGGATGTGCTTATCCCCTGCATATCTCCATTTTGTTCCATGTGTCACTGTGCATAATTGGACTCAAAATTAAACTAATGTGACAGGTAGAGACTTTGCACCAGTGGGTCTGGTCCAAGAAAATGCACCTCCCAGAGCTCGAGACAAGCTGCTCATTTCAATTTTTAACAAGATATCCCAAAGCCCTCCCTCCTACAATATTATCACCAACAACTGCAAACACAGGGAAATTTCTATCACCAAAGCAAACATTTACTGAAAATCTTACTTTTTGGCATTGGCATAGGCAGACAAACTGAGATCAACATCAACCAACGAGGGTTTGTTCTTCTGAGGTTTCTTCAGCTGTTTGTTTTTATTCTTTTTCTTTTTTCCCTTTGGTTCTTCTGTTTCTTCTTTCTCTATGTCAGCATCCTCCTCCTCCTCTTCCTCTTCAGATAACACATATGGGTTCCTAAAACACATAACTATGATTAATCTTATGATTAAGAAAACTAGTTATTTTTTAATTCTTATGGCAAAGTACTCTTAATTTTATTCTCTCATGAAGCCTGCAAATGGCCTAAGGAGCTCTTAAAGCCTTTTCACTGTGCAGGCACAGGGAGGCCCTGGGATGCCTCACATGCCAGCCTGTTTATGTCCTGGTGTCAGCCAAATTTTGGGGGAAAAAAATAAAACAAAAGCAGAAACAAAGAGCCAGTTTTTTCCAATCCAAGGAACCGACTCAAAACAAGCTTGTTCCATGCAATGACATTTCTGTGAGGTAACTAAAAACTCATAAATTAACTTTGCACCTTCCAGCTTTTTCAGACCGAAAGTTCTTGCTATAAAAAAGAAATGTTGGTGGTTTTTTTTCCTCTCTAACATCCTGATACAAAGTCAGATGAGGTTTTTACAGACACTGGTCAGTGTAGTCACCTCAGCAGCATGGTGATGTGATTTGTCTGAAGCTTTAACTCTTTGATTGCACTGGCCACGGGGTCTCCCTGGGCCTGAGCTTCCTTAACGATGGCCCCGATCTCGGTCCAGTCGATCTGGTTGGCCAAGGCACTCCGGACCACCTGGATGGCTCTGTCCACCACGGCCAGGTTCATCTCTATGAGCTCCCCTTTCAGCTTATCAGCTTCCTTAGGGAAAGGAAAAGGTTATATCCATTGGAGCCAAACACACACTCAGCAACAGCTGAACAAAAAATCACAGAAAAGAGCCCTGAGAACATCGAGCCCGACCTTTGACCCAACAGCACCTGCTTTACTGGACCATGGCACCCAGTACCACATCCAGTCTCTCCTTAATCACCTGATGAAATCCAAGGATTAAGTGATTGCATGGGATAATGGCCAACTTGATGCCTGCAAGCAGAGCAATGCAGAGATATCTCTGGAAGTGTCCAAGGCCAGGGTGAATGGAGCTCGGAGCTGGCCTAGTGGAAGGTGTCCCTGCCCACGGCAGGGGATTGGAATGACATGAACTTTAAGGTCCCTTCCAACCCATACCAGCCTGGGATTTCATGACAATGCATCTTCTCAGCTGAAAATCAAAATCTGTCTCACCTGAGCTTGCTGAAGAGCTTCCAGTCTGTGCTCATGATCCCTACGGACATTTTCAAGTTTCTTCAATGCTTGTTTTTCCTTTCAAAATTAAGATGGAAAAAAAAATATATAAAGACAAATGACACCACTCAATCCCTGCAAGAAGCAAGTGAAGCCTCTGAAGCTCCTGGAGCCATCCCAGCTGTCCCAGTCCTGGATGAGGACACACCTGCTGCAAGGCCTTCAGATCAATCTTCTGTCCCTCCAGCTTGGAGTAGAACTCATCAGTTGCCTGCAAGAGAAAAACAGGTTTAAGAATCTCCAGGTGGTCCTGACTTAGACCAGCAACCAGCAGGCAGAGGAGGTTCCCTCAAGAGAAGAGGCTGCAAAGCACTAAAAGAGGTAACAGAGGCTAAAATAACGTTCAGGAACTTCCTCCATTGACCTTCCCATGAGTTCAGCAAGAGATGGATGTCTCTCACTGCAAACCAGGGGTTATGCACAAGTAAATAAATGGCCAAGTTATGGCTCATTTCTTTGCTAAGAAGTGATGAAAAAGCAGCTGTTTTGATACAGACTAAATGGTTGCAACGACAGACGTGTCTGCCCTGAATTCCTGCTGCTTCACTGGGTCAGTTAAAAAACCACAAACACCCAGAAAAAATGCCTAAGAACTGCTCCTGGTGTTCCAGCTGTGCTTAAAAAACAAGATGAGGGAGGTTTTAGGCTGTTTAGATCATCAGAGGGACTTTTCACAATGGCCTGGAATGACAGGACAAAGGGGGAACAGCTTCACACTGTCACAGGGCAGGGTTTGATGGGATATTGGGAAGAAATTCTTGGCTGTGAGGGCGGGGAGACCCTGGCACAGGTGGTCCAGAGAAGCTGTGGCTGCCCCTGGATCCCTGGAAGTGCTGGACAGGTGTCCCTGAGGAAGGTGTCCCTGCCCATGACAGAGGGTTGGACTGGATGGGATTTAAGGTCCCTTCCAACCCAAACCATTCCACGGTTCCATGATCAGTGCTCTGAAGGAGATGACAGAAATTCAACCAAGAGGCAGGGCAGGAATGGGAAATGGGAATTCTGAAGATCAATTCAGGAACAACAGGCATTTAATGATTTCATGGGTCAAGGACCAGGAAGGACAACGCTCAAGGAAATGATAAATCAGGTGCCTGAAGCTTCCAAAGCAGTAACAGCAAAAGTATAAATGTGATGACTGTGACAACTCTCCAGAGACAACTCAGCATCCAACTCTCCACTAACAAAACATTTGGGATTCTAGGACTGTTAACATCCACCTTCCTCGGGGGTCCCACACACAGCTCCAGGATCTGAGTTCATGAGGACAACACTGCTCAGCAGGAGCCTAAAGGCCCTCTTTGAGTTGGCCTTTTCCCCCTGAAAGTATTTCTCCATAAAATTAATCATCTCTTCCAAGGTCTACATTCCCATTAACAACCTCTGCACTATATTTTAATTACTCTTTTTAGCATCAGCCCATTAAAGCACTTAAGTACAGTATCAGCAAAAGCACTGTACCTTATTGAATGAGTCAAATTCCAAGTAGGGACATTTTGAATGTTGAGAAAACAAGAAAGGATGAAATTCCTCATATCTGTAAAATACACATTTGATATTATCACCTGAAAAACTAATTTCTGTTATGCAGACTAGCAGAAAAAGGAGAAAATACTTCAAATATTTACGTGTAAATATCTTCTGCTGGTTTATCTGGTTCCAGACTTGGCTTTTTCTCCCTTTTCTGGATAATATATCCCTAAAAAAAAATACACAGATATAATTTATATTTGAAAAGGATCTTTAAAGTTTTAGGTGTAACCTCTGATCAGCACAAGACACCAAAGCATTCCAGCAGGGAGACCTTGTGACTCAGTAAATCCCTGACCGGTGGCTTATCCTGACCCCAACTTCTTCTGGAAAAAGAGGTGAACTCTGTTACAACCCTCAGGACAATCCTACAGCTTTATCACACAAGTGCACATGTAATGTGCTGAATTTACTAAAGCACAAGTGTAACTCTCACAGGATTTATATCACCTGCTTGTAAATTATTTCATTGCTGCACAGTTTTTATTCCACATCACCCCCTGGAGCCCGAGCTCACAGAATAAAATCCACCCTGGTAACACCAGGAACAAGCAGATCCAGGACAATTCCTGCCTGCCAGTTTAATTCTGCAGTTCCAAAATAATTTATAACCCATCCAGACCCACCTTTCCACTGAAGTTGTCAGTTAGTGCCATGTATTCTTCTGCTTTCTCTAGAGCTGAGAGCACTCTCTCAAGATTTTCTAAAGAGAAAAATAAAACAGCAGAAATGGTTTAGTCCTGAGGCTTCACCCCAATTACTGTTCATCTTAAAAAGGAGTTTCAGCACACATTTTACATCTGGGAAATTTTTAATAAAAAAATCTATTTGAGTGCTTTTAAGGCACAATTATTCAAGTTTCAGGGGGAAAAAAAAAGACCACACAAATGCCAGCACTTTATAAAAGCAAATCTGCAGAGGTAAAGCATAAACCAGAAGCTGTGAGAGCTTATTTGTTACAAAGTTGATTTACTACAGCCCCCATAATGCTGCAGGAAGTAAAAAATCCTTTGGATATATGGCAAAAATAAAGTACACAAGAAAAACAAGGCTGTAGGAAAATCTATTCTGACTTTACCACCCAAATCCACAAGTTCCCAATAAATGTAAAGCTGCTACTTTATCAAATCCCCAGCGTTGGGGGGATTAAATAAAGACTATAGAGACAGACTTTGATGCTGATTCTCCTACACAGGATTCTTGTCTAACATCCTTTTACACAGACTCCACCTCATGAGTGAGGTGGTATCTCCTTATAAAACCATTTATAATGTATAAAACCTGATGTTTTATCTCCAATGCACTCACAATGCAAGAGTTTTAATGTAAACAAGGTTTATATTAAAAAATACAAAAAACATATAGTCAGAACTACAGGTTTAAGGACTACTCACCTCTTTGGGGAAAAAATACTATACAGACATAAAAATCACCAGCTTTTAAAATATTATTTCCTACATACCTTTATTTTCCAGGTGTTGATCTATTTTGACAGAGCCAGAAAATCCAGCTTCTATAAGGCAATGCTCGATGAGAGTGGCCCCATAAGCTGTTAAAGAAAATATTGAAGGATCATCTGTAGCAAACATTCCCAATGAAATTTGTATTTAAATTTAATTTTAAGAAGTGTTTCAACAATCTAAGGCTGTGAAACTGCCTGCAAACAAGCTGCAGGCTATTTAAAGCTGCTGGTTTGGAGGTTCAGAACTTATTAAACAGCGGTCCAGAAAAATCCAAGGATGGCTGCCAGGACTAAACATCAGGAAAAGAGAAATTGTTACAAGCAAGAAGCTATCTGAAGTTGTGTCCCTTCTGGAAAATGGGAGACCAAATTCTAAAACACAGAAACAAAATAAATCTTTGGAAAATCTGGAAGAAAAAAAAAAACAAACACGACAGGATGAATAATAAAACCTTTTCCAGAGGTATCATAAGCAGGAAGTCTGGTAGGGCCAGTAGGTTCAGAAAGCAACCAAGGGGCAAAAGGAAAACAAGAGCAGGAAAATTAAATTTATGTCTGGAGTTTCATCCACAGTGCAGGGCACTGGGAAGCTCTGGTTGGAATGTTTCTCTGCAGGCAGGGAAATCGGCCTCAAATCCAGTCACTGGGAGAGGTGATGGATCCAACAGGCAAAACAAGCAGCAACTCAGAGAGGAGTTTAAGAGAACTCAAGGATGGAGATGCCAAACTCCTCTCCTGCCTCAGCAGCAGAGGCACAAGAAGGTTCATGCACTGGGAATTTTAAAAATGGAACAGAAAACCACCAACTCTTGTCGGGCTCCAGACTAAAACCAGCAGGGAGCTTTGCACTGGATAGAGAAGAGCCAGCACATTTGGATTTTCCATCATAATCCAACCAGACAGCTTCAAGGCCCAAAGATAAGGGAGGTCACACAGATAAATAAGGTCTGCTTAGGCTTCCAGAAAGCACTTAGGAAAGCTCACCCCAAAGCTCTGGGAGAAAACAAGCTGCCACTGGATTACAGGACAGCTCCTGCCTGGATTGGGATGTGGTGAAAGACAGGGAACAGGGAGGAGGTGTGAACTGCCAGGATGCATCCTGGAGGGAGGGAGGGAGGGAGGAAGGCTGACCTCCATAGGCACTCAAATGGCCTGGGAAGGGGGACAAAGGGCAAAGTCTGGTGATGGAACACAACTCATCCAAGCCCCAACAGCCAGCTGGGAAGAACTGGAGGAGATGGAGCAATAACAAGAGCTTGGATAAAAAACTAACACATGAACTCACTGCAAAACAATAGAAAATAAAACAATATAAAATAATCTCCATGTGGAAAGACCATCCTACTTATATGTATGATCATTTCTATCTGGGAGCAAGACCCAGCAACAGCTGGCCCTGCAGAAACACAAGATCCAATGTCAGTGAACACAAGAGTCAAGCTGTGTGTTGGGAATTGGGAAAGGAATAGTAAACAGAACATGGGAATTCATGCCACAGCATAAAGCCATGGAGCACTTCCCATGTGAATGTTATAAACACTCTTACTCACCATGTTTCACAACAGGCAGAGGCAGAAAAGGCACAGAGAAGAGCAACAAGGATCATCACAGGCTTGGAACACCAAACTATGAAATATGAAGGTGCCTCCTGCTCAGTCTCTAAAATTTCAAAGTGCTGGGATTGAGACTCTCCTGGGAAAAACTGGCAGGGCCAGAGAGCAGCACTGGCCTGAGGTTAAGCCCAGGGAATGGGATGTGAGAAACTGCTGGACACAAGTAGTGCCAAAAATCAGAGAAGGGTAGGAGGGGTGGCTGGATTTCATGGGTGGACAAGGAGGAGGGGGGTGGGAAACAGCCAAACTCCCATGGTAACTGAAGGGAAAAATTGTGGAGATTTTAGAGAGTGGAGCAGCTGTGCCTGGATAATCAGATCAGTGACACCATGTGAGGCCAAGGTTTCCTAAGTGACAGGATCAGTAACACTTAGGTCTGTAAATTAGCTCTAACAGAGGTACTGCCAGGTCCTCATCACTGCAGGATCATGGCCAGACTCATCTCTCTGCAGACAGCTTGGAGTCAATAAATCTACTCTGTTTCCCAAGGCTTAGGAGTTTTGTTGTTTTTCAAACATATATAAAAGCAGATTGCCATGAAAAACATAAAAAAAAATAAAGGACTGCTTGAGCTGGAGAGGAACTTTGGACAAAGGCCTGGAGTACCAGGACACAGGGAATGGTTTCCCACTGACAGAGGGCAGGGATAGATGGGATATTGGGAAGGAATTCTCCCCTGTGAGGGTGGGGAGGCCCTGGCACAGGTTGCCCAGAGAAGCTGTGGCTGCCCCTGGATCCCTGGAAGTGTCCAAGGCCAGGCTGGATGGGGCTTGGAGCAACCTGGGCTAGTGGAAGGTGTCCCTGCCCCTGGCAGGGGGTGGGACTGGATGATCTTTAAGGTCCTTTCCAACCCAAACCATTCTGGGATTCTGTGAATCCATGGTAAGTTATTCACATTTTCAGCATGATCTGAACATAATGGGTATTGACTGAGCCCATTCCATTTCCTAATAAAGCCCAATTACTTACGAAGGAGTGGGTTAAGAACCCTCTTCAGTTGTTCCCCTTTGGGTGCATTTGATATTATCTCAGTTAACCTGTGAAAGAAAACAGAGTTGCAATTCCAAGGAATCACGTGCTTTAAACCCACCCTGTGTTACTTAGAAGCCACAAAACATTTTCAGTCTTAAGACAAGAAATTAAAAACACACTTAACCCACAAAAAACCACCTGAAGCTTTTCACAGCTCCAAGGAACTGGGGTTTATCCCAGCAAATACACCATGGAAAAGCAATTACCTGTCCAAGGTTGGCAGGGGCACAGCAGCTTTTGCACTGTCCACGGGGTATCGTTCCCGCACGGCAAACCTGACGTCGTCCGCCTCGTCCGTGCGGAACCTCAGGATGTTCAGGATGATGTACTCGTGGTCCGTGAGGACAACGTTCCCCTGGGGGCACAGGGACCATCAGCACAGCCACACTGGGTCCCTGCTCCAGAGAAGGACACCCCTGGAGCTCTGCACTCACCCTGTCGTACAGCTCCACAATCAGGTGATAAGCGGCTTCGTCGCTTCCGAACTGGAAGTCCACGATCCTGTCGATCCCCAGCTGGGTCACACTGACCAGTCTCCTGGTCTTCAAGTGCTTCCGGCACTGCCAGGGATGGGAAGAAGGTCTGTGAGGTGCTGCAAACACCTGGAAATGCCCTCCAGTGACACCAACCTCTTCTTATTCAATTAAAACATCCTAACGGTAAAAATATCGGTTCTTGGCAAGGTACCTTGATGCTTATAAATAATGTAATTGTTCCCAATTTTAACACTAAGACATCTTTTCCATTAAAACCAACTCCTTGGTTAGCCCAAGGGAGCAGGCAGTGAAAATTCAAAGGGTTGATTTTACAAGGAGAACTGGGATTATCCCTGCATCCATGTGGAAAGCCGTGGAAAGCCACCCCAGAGAGTCTTTGCTGAGTCACTTCCATGGGGTGGTGCCCAGAGGATAAGTAGGTCCATGTGAGCCAGTGCCCAGGTGTATCCCTGTGGATCTACCTGCAGGAACCCAGCCCAGGAGCCTGGAGCAAGAGCTGAACCCCCAAAGTCCAGCAGACTGAACAGCAGGAATCTATAACACAGGGTGCTGCTTAAAAATTCAGACAATCCAACTGGAACGGCAAGGAATTTGCTGGAGCAAAATTCCAAAAGGTCTGAGTGGCCCAGAAAACATCCAGATTAGTACTAATTTTGTATAAATTTAAGTATTCACTGTTTTAGGCACTTAATAACAACAACATGATCCCAAGTCCATGTTTGCTCTTCCCTTGTCTTCAGTCACCCACCGGGTCAGGATTCACCGGGCAAATCCTTCCACTATTTTCCTGTCTCCAAGGACAGAACGTGAACATTCCTTCCTGACATCCAGTCACGTCACTAAATCAGGAACTGCAGGTGAGTTTACCTTCATTGCAAAGCTGGATGGCATCATGTTTTTGGGCCACTCGAACTCCGTCAGGTGGATGCGAATCCCGGATTCCAGCAGCAGCGTGGCCTTGCAGTCCGGCCTGGGGACACAACAAAGCAGCTGGACCCCAAAATCCTTGTGGATCCCTCCCAGCTGAGGATATTCTACCATTCCAAGGCACATGAGCAGCCACCTCTCACCACCCACCAGTTTGCAGAGTGTTTTTCTGCAGCATTTCACACTCCATACACTATTTGCCAGTGATCTTTTTGGAGTAAAAAATCACTGCATTTTATCAAAAAAACCAGCATAATTTCACTGAAAACTAGTCAGAAAAGCCACATGAATTACTGCATTTTATACATACAGTAACAGCATTTTTAAAGAATTTTAAACAAAGAAATTCCAAGTCCTTACTTTTGCAGGCGAATAAGATACGTCTTGTTATCCACATCATAAACGTTGTTCACCCTCATTCCCAGCAAGCTGCCAAAGGGAAAACACAGAATCCTTTGAGGAATCTGATACACAAGTGGCTGAAAAATTCCCAGGGGCAATTAAAATACAAAGAAGGGCAAGTTATGATAAATTATGAGGCAGCCACCAAAGAGGGAGCAAAGGGTGATTAATGGAATGAGCTGGAAGCAAAAATCCACGGAGAAATGGCTGTTAAGAGACAGCAATCAAGAGATGGAGAAAATTAGGAGATGAAGGAACTGCTATCAATGGATAAAGTACAAAAAACTGAACAAGTCACTTTGTTCAGAGTGGGGCTGGATGTGCAGACTGTCCTGGACACCAGAAATGTGTCAGAGCTCCACAGGGATGTGAGGAGCAGCAGATTCCCAGCTGGCTGGGAATTGTTCAGCCTGGAAAA